TTGAATTAATATATATATATATATATATATATATATATATATATATATATATATATATATATATATATATATATATATAAGACAGTTAAGTTACATATCAAACTCATTGTTTCGAATATGTGTTGTAAGAACGATATCAACCAATGTTTGTGGATTTATAGAATAAATTAAACGTCAGGAGCTAGACTATTGATTGCATAATTTCATTTTGTTAAAACAACTGAGTTGTGTGAAGCTATTTCTTGCAATAAATGAAACTTAAATTTTTATGAAGTGTAATTCATCTCAAGTGAAGTGGTATTAGGAATGTCTAGACTTATATATATATATATATATATATATATATATATATATATATATATATATATATATATATATATATATATATATATATATATATCAAGGTTTTCGAATGGACTGTTTCGTTTAAACCAAAACCTTTTAATCATATTAGAAAATAAGCGGTAAACAATCTATGTCTATTGACTAGCCCCGTTAATTAGAAAGAATTATAATTTTAGATGAATACATGATTTTTTGATTGAAGATATAATTTCTAGGTTTTACTAGTCATAAACTGAGAAGTCATTTCAGACTGGTGAAAAAGAAACTTTTTTGTCTTAGCACTGAAACTCTCAACATGCTTTCATACTGGGGTCTGAAAAACCCATCACGAAGTTACTAGTGAACCTTTTACGAAGACAAGATTTTAGATTATTTTAGGTTATTATGAAGTAACCTAAATTTGATCGATCTTCAAATTAGATGTAGGTAAAACAATAATAAAAATAACATTACCTTATCATTAAAGAACAACTCTTGGTTATCAATGCATTATTTACAATTTATTTATAAAATTCAAACTTACTAATGATCCAAATGTTAAACTCATCCAGCAGTAAACGTTGACTGATCGTGGGGAGATTTCTGTAGGTCAGTTTATATGATTCTTTTTTGGTCAACCAACAAAAGAACTTCAGAGGTCCGTGATTCATTAAGAGACAGGGAATTTATTATCTAATGAAGTATTTCGCGGGATAATACGAACAGTGTAATTTTAATTACTTTATTACCTCAAAATGACTTTACCTGGAGAAACATTGAGGAATGAAAGTGATCAGATTGCTGTTTGATTATTGTTTATGACCTTACAGTAGTGCATGCTTATAATCCTTCATGAGGTATAACCTGTAAACATTAGATCGAGGAAGTGTTTATAAATCAACTTAGAAAAGATTGTAAATGAGAGACTATTTGGAATTGTATCACATGTGCTACCGACTATAAGCTATTTCATTTCGCCACTTCGTTACATACTTAACTGTTCACATATAGAGTGTTACATAAGCAAAACATTTGCTTTCTCACACTTTTGAGAAAAGATTAATCAAGTATATTGTAAGTTCACTTAGACTAATATTCACCATTATGTACAGAATGCTGGTAAAACTTTCAATGTTTATTTTTTTTGTTATTTAGCATAGCTTCGTATAGCAATCCAAAATTTCCTATCCAATATACTCAAGCAAAGAACATTTGTTCAAATCTCTTACCTTTTGTGGTTTATACTGACAAATACTTCCGATTAAAACTATATAGACTGGTGAGAATTTACCGGATACACGTACTTGTTTAAACTATATTCTCAATTATTGGAACTGAAACGTGCTTTTATCCAATCTATATTCTACTAACAGTATCCAGTTGATCTAATACTTAGTTAATTTAGCTTTGGTGTAATATCTGGAAGGCGAATTTAGATGTGTAAGTGTGCATGATGTAAATCTACGTGAAAAGTGAGAAATGTAATTCAGTAACTTACTGTCTATCTGAGATAACAGTAACTTTAATTATCATTTACAGATTTCACATTAGATTGGGATCAAGTTTCATTCAAATTATGCCAAATTACAGGTATATTTTGAAATTTAAAACAAATTGATTCACTCAAACTATTACAAAAAAAATCAAAAGTTTGCTAACTTCTCAGAGACAATTTCTTTTCGAGTAAAATATGCACAAATCATGATGGTTTTCGTGAAACGCTGAAGTAAAAGCTTGCATTATGTCTACCATTATTAACTTATTTTTCGGTCCCTTCAATGAACTACAGGCACTTCAGTAAATGCGAAGAACATGGATTCCGAACTTTATTCCTTACAACCCATTGTTACCATGCCTAAATCAAATAATGCAAACCTAAGGTATGATGCCTTATAACGTATAACTAACGAAGTCATTTACTTAATAAAAAGGAATCTTTTACGTTAGTGAGGAATATATGACATAATAGAATAGTTATCAATTAAGGGGGTTATGTACTGAAAGACTGGAGGTTATTTTGCTTACCACATTCAGTTCTCCGAATCGCTTGTCATAAACATATTAGGTAAGGACTTTATTTGGTAAGCAGTTTAATCGAGAACAATTGACGGTTAATATATTAGTCTTTTAAACTATATTGTTACACAGTAAACATAAGTTTACATGACATTTTGTATAAGACGATAGCTTTAGTCATAGGCTAACCTCGGCTACCAAATCGAGGTGATAGACAGTGTTTCCGTTTTGAATTGTGGATCTTTAGAAATGTACTTATATTGACCTTGAAGAAACTTCAAATCCTAAATTGTTTTCGAAATTATCAAACCAATAATTCGAAATCCATTATCTGATGTGCTCAAGTTAAGTGGACTTGTAAAGCTCTGTTATCATGAAATATTAGTGTTAGCTAGCTTACTCCCATTATGGTTGATGTATTGATATATTTTATTTTTGAAAAGCAGAGATAGTTTGTAAAAAGTAAATAAAATTTTCCATCTCTGCCAGTTATAACTTTCTAGTTACAAAAACACTTTGTCAATGGAGAAGAGAATAACTACTCAGAAATAATCACAAATCTTATTTTCAGTTATTCAAGTGAATTTATATTTTGAATTTAAAACTGTAATGGCCTTAATAGTATCTTATATGGTGAACAACTACTCAACTGATTGTAGTAAGAGTAACATGAAAACTGGACTTTCCCAATCGTCCGTGACGTATAATCAATTCCTAGGTAAGATTTATTACATAACTTAGTCAACTCGTTATATATATTGGTTATAGACGCTTTCTTTTATGATATTGTAAGTGCTTATCCCGTAAGTTATTGGTTTGTTGGTTTTAAATACTACACAGTTCAGTTTATAAAAAACTGACCGTAGATAAATCACATAGAAAGTAATGTAGTCATATATAGTTTTGACTTATTTTGCAGATAAAATAAATCTTAATTCAAAGTCTTCTTGTTTTTATTTGTGTCAAACATTTCACGGTTACCAATACCAAGTATTAAGTCAGTTAAGTATTTTGTTAATGAGACGGTATTAACTTATATATAGTAATTATATTTTTACCACTAACAATTCGGTGAATGACCAAATTAAATAAAGTGAAGTGAATAGTAAAAAATTCCTGTTTCATTATTTTTTGTTGTTGTTGCCCAGTTTCGAAAAAATCTAACAAAGTACATATTCAACACTTTCTAAGTACACTAATCAATTGTAATTTCTGCACTATTCGTTTCTTTCTATAGAAAACTCTAGAGAACATTCAATTTAGTTGGATTAAGCCAATTAAAATGAAAATTTTAATAAAACAATAAAATCCTTGAAAAACAAGTTTCATTATTGTTTAAATATATTTCTGTTAAAATCAATCGACAGACCGTTTTCCACGGTCGATCATCTTCAAATGGATGGTGTCATGAAAGCCCTATTTAGAGCATCAACTAATAAACTTACTATATATGTATATATACATTATAAATAAATATTTTGACTTGAGCAAAGACACTACTTTGATTTATTAATCTTATAGTTTACTAGATTTTAAAATCCTGTCTGTTTTGTAAATCTAAAATAATATATTGTATTTGGATTTATTGTCTATTAGTGAATACCTCAATATTCATATAACAAACGATGTAAACATATTGAAAACGTTTCAATAATAGAACAGAGCTATAATAAATAAATAAATTTTTTTTGGTGTATATATATAGAAAGGGGGGGGGCAAATGAAAAAAATCCAGATAGTAAGTTAATCACTAGGCACCAGAATATGTTTTTTTTTTCATTTTCCACTGTTGACAATAAGCATTATAATGATCAATTTTTGTTGTTGTGTATATTATATAAATTTATATAACTTATAATCTTTCACAAGTTTCGATTAGTACTTCATAATTCTACGCTATGCTTATACATATGTATATATGAATTGTTATTTAATTATCAACGATAGTTACTTCAAATGATCAAAATAAATAGTACTAAAGTTAATTTAAGATTCTAGATCATAGTTAATGACAATTATTATTATTGTTATTATTATGATTATCAGTATATAATTAAAATAAAAGAAGAAACAATGGTAATAATAATAATAATAAGCTAATATGATGATATCAGCTAATTTGTTTAAACAAAGTAGTAACAAATACAATGTATGCAATCAATCAAATGATGTAATAATCCATTTATACACATATATAGAGAGAGTTATTTTGAATAGATTTACTAAATAATTGTTTAAAACATTTGATTACATTTGATTCTATTGTTTTAATGGTTTATATATATATATATGCATACTGTTTCTGATAAAGCGCATTGTTGCATATCAGTGGAGAAAAAAGAACATGGGCATATCTTTATTGTAATCGCTTAGTTTCATTTCGTTTCATATGATGAGTAAAATAAGCTCAAAATAAATTTTTTATAATTTTTCCAATTTAAGTAGCAAAAACAAAAAGAAAAAAAGAAAGAAAAGCAAAACTTACATGTTTTTATTACTACAAGCGTTATAATGATTAAAATCGATATGTGAAAGACAAAAATAATTAGGTTTTTTTCTTTTTTTGTTTTTTCTTTTTTTTCAACGATAAATTTACGATTCTTTCTTCTTCTTCTTTTTCTTCTCGGTTTTTTTTGTTTCTCATCAAAAAACATTATTTTTTAAATGTAACGTAAAGAAAATGATTTATCCGCTGTACTATGATGTTTCTTATAAATTTTATCAGTTATTTGTTGTTCAGTTTCAGTTTCATCAATATAATTATTATAATCAATAAAATTCTTAATATTTTCTGGTCTTTTATAATGTGCAATAAATATATAAATATCACCATTATCAACAATACGATTACCTTGATCAGGATTAGTTGAAACATAACGAAAATCTACAGCTGATAAATCATTGACATTGATATTTTCTGTTAATTTTGCAAATGTTTTATCTTTTTCTTTTAATTCATTAAATTTGATTTTTAAACTATTTTTGTCATTATCATCATTATTATTATTATCATCATGATCATCATCACTATTTTCGTGGATCACTTTCTGATTATTAGGCTGTGATGATGTTGATGATACTTTTGTATAATCCACTATTTTCATATTTTCTATTGGTTCATCACATGGTTCAAATTCACATTTAATCATTTTAGGTTCATCTAAATTTTGATGATTTTCATCATGATCATGTATAATCACATCATCTTTATCAATAGGTTGTTGTTGTATGGTATCATCTATATTTTGTTGAATCTCTAATGAATAATTATCATTCATTTGTAAATTATTATTACTAGCATTAGTTATATTGTCATTACTTGTTTGTTGTAAATTATCAATAGGTACTTCATTATTCTGATTTAAATTTATAGTTTCTTGCATAGAAATATTATTTTGTGAAAGTTGTTCATTGGATACATTCAAACTGGAATGTGATGAATATACACCTGGTGTTGGTAAAGTTGTATCATCTTCATTTAATATATAATCAGAATGACTTCTAGCTTTATTAATAAGTGTAGTAATATCTTTATAATGGGATTCAGGTAATTTAAAAAAATCATAATAACGACTATGTTGTTCATGATCAACACAGCCTAATATAAGTATTGTAGGATCATTATCAAATACATAATATCGTTCAATATCTTTATATGGATAAAATTTTCTTGGAGGTGGTGGACCAAATTTTGAAGCACGTTTTAATCGTATCCCATCTGGTTCACAGCGTAGTTTACTATGTGCTAATGATTTACGCGATTTAAGTGATAATAACAATGTATGTACTTGATTATGATTGAATTCTTCACCATAAGTGATTAATTTCCGTGCTATTAAATCTGTAGTGGATTCAAAATAACGTAGTCGTTTACGACGTCCGCATGATTTCATTTTATTTGTAGACGGCATTCCATAAAATAAATTATGCGTTAAATCAAATTAATTTTGTACAACAGAAATATTGATGCAAAAACCTATCAAAAGACAGAGAGAATGAAGAGAGAACACACTTTGGTGATATTTTATCACTGTAGTTTCGTTTAAAACATGAATCTTTATTTGATGCAGACGAGATTTATCGGTGAAGAATTGTTTATTTTAGATTTTCTATGTATTTAATAACTTTCTATAGATGATACATCAGCTGTGACCACATTTTTATTTTCAATGAATAGCTAATTATATACTATACTAACATTAGATTATTGAGAACGAATCAGGACAGATGAAATAAGACAATTGGTTGTTTTCAATGAAACAAACACCACCAACAAAAAAACGACTACACATTACACTTTGTGTTATCAAAGTATAAAAATAACCAATAGAAACAAATCTATTAAGTACTGATTCAGATAATGAATCAAATTACAACATTGAGTTTTGAACACCAAAAATCGTGAATTTTTATACAGTTTCTCAATTTATCTTCCTTTTTTTTATTATTGAAGTAAAATCAATATGTTCTGTGTACTTTATTTTTATTTGCAACCACCGTAGAGTAAAACTTTAAAAAAGTCCATTCAATTGAATAGATAAGTAGAGTGCAAACTCTTAACCAATAAAAACGAAATCAATGAAATTATGTGAGAAATAGAAAGTATCCGATCTGAACAACAACAAAAAAAAACTTCTATCTTATAAACATCTTATAAAGTGAATGTTTCATTCTGTTTCGTATTTTAAGAGAGATTACATCATCATGAATGTATTTTGTTGTCATACAGATATATTGATAATGAGATAAACATGACTTCATGAATACTTTAACTGGTAGAAATCATTTATATCATCTTACTAACCATTTGATTCAAAGGGAAACAGGTGTTATGAATAGACTTTATTATGAAATTACTTTATCTTATTTCAACTTATATTAGACTTGTAAGTGAAATATAAACTGTAAAGAATTACACTTTGAAGTTATATTGGATAGTAATTAATTATGGAATTCAAAATGAGCATTTCATTTTATTTATGATTTGTCAGCTGGATGTACTGACAGTCGTGTTAAGTTTTACGCAGAGATTCAAACCCAGTGCTTTTTGCCTAAAAACTTCAATATTTTATTGTTTTAATTGCTGAGTTTAAAGAGCCACTAACTTGTGAAGCGTGTATAGAGGCTAGTATCCTCTATATCTGACTCCAATAAGTAGTATCCCGTTAACTGAGTATTTAACGCTGGCTAAATCTCCTAGTAGAATTATGGATTTACTCGAAATTATTCAAAAGCCCGAACATCAGTTATAGAGATAGTTTATTGTTAAAGATTGGTAAAATTCGCAAGCGTACACGAAGCACGCACACAGTGAAACCAAGAGTGTGTGTGTGTTGGTGAGTGTCAAAATCCATATATATTTTTGAGTGTTAATCAAGTATGGATAAATTATTGATTGTCTGTGTATTACAACCAATGGGAGAATAAATTAAAAATTGAAGTGTGCTCAATCATACACAGAAAATTAAATGTGGATCAAGTGTCTGAATTACAGTGAGCAGATAAACATTACAATAGTTGAATGGGCCTACTACGCGTAGACGAGTCTTAAATTAGAAAATCAGCAATTATCTAATTCCTCTCTAAAATGCTCGTGATTTAATGGCAATATCGAGTGTAAGAAGTTGAAGTCCTTGGCGTTAAAAGTAGGAAACTGCTATTCCCGTATAGATGAGTTAACTTATGGAGTGTTTTATGAATATTAAATTTTCACAGACTAGTGAAGCAATATATGGATCTGTATACTATTTAGGCTCTTTATGAAGAGAATGAATGATAATGAGTCTGTTTATTACAGTACTTTTTCAGAGTTATACATGGTAATCATCTATGAGTTTAATGGTTAACTATTGTGTTTATGATGATTTGACATAAGAAAAACTGAAAGTTACATAAATGGGACAAAATACATATTCAATGCCCTGTCGTTGTCACTAGTTCTCTTTATGATGACAGCGTGATTTGAAAAGTGAATAAAAACTTTTCACTCAATAATTTTTTATTGAAATGCTCATTTGCACACTTGACAGATCGGCTACTTTCGTTTGGTTAATATTTATTCCACGAAACTTAAGTGGATAGTATGTATTTGTCAATCTTTAGACAAATACACAGATGAACATTTATTGATATCTCGTTACTGTTGAGCTATATATATATTTAAAGTAAAAACCAATTCATGAGAATTCAAGGTAGAACTGACACATCACAAAATACTTTACACAATGAGACGGTAGTCTTGAATTTCAAGTAATAGAATCCAATAGACAGTGAAACTAAAAAGGGAATATAAGTACTTGGGTATGTGGTTTCACAAAGTAGAACAAAACAAATCTATCTATTCTATATGACTTGTACCAAAATGAATACACGGAGGTTGTCGACACAGGATACTCACATGCAGATAAAGGCCGGTTAAAATGTATTGCCAAATATCGACAACTAGATGTTTAAACTCTTACCAATAATGAGTATGGCTTATGGTTTTTGTCGCCGGTCGGTTGATGTCAGTCCAATATTAATATTGATAATAACAATAATATTGATATAATACTGTTAAAAAGAATGTAGATTTCTATCCTCTTCAATTTTTGATAAGAATTTAATTTTATAAATAATTTACATAACCTTTAATATTGACCTTTCTCATGTATGTTGTTCACATAGTATCACTAAAGTCAACGTTAGAAAAAACATTTGAAGCACATTTATATTTGACATTACGTCACGTAGGAAACTATTTAATGAGTGATATTAAAAGGTATATGATCCTATATTACATTTAAAACGCTAAATTAATATTTTCACAGTACTAAACAAGCATCATTTGACCTTTACATAGTTTCTAAGTATCAAACTCTGTCAAAACTTTATTATGTACCAATCTGACTGATAAAGTAATTTAATATAAAGTAAATATGATCAAATGTATTGAAACAGCAATATGATTTAAGTAAAGATAAGTAACGGCGAATAGTAGAATTCTGAACTAGTTTTTTGTTCTGTTCCAGATATTTTATCTGGATGTATCAGTACTCCGCTGTTGATGTTCACTCCGAGACTCGAACCTAGTGCCTTTCGCTTCAAATCTCTCGGTGAACATTAACACTGGAATGCCTTGTACATATAGCTGATGAGTTCCGCATAAGACGTAAGATTTGTTGTGATATCCACTGATAGCCACTATCAATCTTAGCTGAAATACGTGTGAATTCATGAAAATATTGTGGCAATCAACTCAAGATGCATGTATACTATCAAAGACTGGTTAAAAGTCACTTCTTAACATCAACAGTGGGGAGATTTAAACACTTACATGTAAGTAAAAATAATGTGGTCAGCAAAAAAATTCGAATATGCACTTGTAATAAATAAAAATACAATAGAAAAACAATAATATAGTTTTGAGTACAAAATGTATTGGACTTGAACACTTGGAAATGTAATTCCATTTCAGTGTTACCACGTTTAAACTACATCATATTATTGACAAAATGATACTACATTTTCAGTTCACAATTACAAAGTTCATTTTGTAATGTATTTAATATAGCTTAATTATGATATTTAATACTTATATTGTTCATCTTGTGTAGGATGTATAAGATGTTCAGCTTTAAATAAATAGTGTCAAAATAGGTTACTTATAGAATGATGAATATGTTCTTGATTTTCCACGTGTATACTTACTTACTTACGCCTGTTACTCCTCGTGAACGAGCATAGGCCGCTCACCAGCATTCTTCATCCAACCCTGTCTTGGATAACCCTTTCCAGCTCCTTCCAGTTGTTATTCATCCTTTCCATATCTGCTTCTATTTCCCGACCTAATGTGTTCTTTGGCCTTCCGCTTTTCCGCTTCCCTTCAGCATTCCAAGTTATGGCTTGCCTTGTGATGCAGTTTGATGATTTGCGTCATGTATGTCCTATCCATTTCCATCGTCTTTTCCTAATTTCCTCTTCAGCCAGAAGCCGGTTTGTTCTCTCCCAGAGAAGGCTGTTGCTGATGGTATCCGGCCAATGGATGTTGATTATCTTGCGTAGACAGGTATTTATAAATACTTGTAACCTCTTGATGATGGTTGTTGTAGTTCTCCAAGTTTCAGCTTCGTACAGTAGAACTGCCTTGACATTCGTATTGAAGATTGTGACTTTGATATTTATTGAAAGTTGTTTTGAGTTCCATATGTTCTTCAATTGTGGGAATGCTGCCCTTGCTTTGCCAATCCTCGCATTTACGTCTGCATTTGAACCTCCTTGTTCATCGATTTTGCTTTCCAGGTATGTGAAGGTTTCTACATCTTCCAGAGTTTCGCCATCAAGAGCGATTGGATTGCTGTTTTCCGTGTTGAATTTGAGGACCTTGGTTTTCCCCTTGTGTATGCTGAGGCCTACTGATGCAGAGACTGCTGTTACACTGGCTGTCTTTATTTGCATTTGTTCATGTGTATGTTATAGGAGGGCTAGGTCATTTGTGAAGTCCACGTGTATAACAAAATATATATATATATATATGTATATATATTTTCTTATTGTGTTGAAATCATTTAAATAACTTTTAAACATATAATACCTTTAATAATATATTGTACCACGCTGTCTTATTTCTAAAGAAATTGAATAAGAAGTTGAAGATCTTATACTGAAAGTATGTGGTAAAAACAATAAGAACTATAGGATTTACAGAATAAAATGAATTTTTTAAGTTCTGCTTTGAGGCTTTTCACTGATCCGTTGGCATTTTATAAAATGTATGGTCATTAAAAATGAAGGTTTTTGAAACTTTATTTAACGTATTGGATATGAAGTTGTGAAGTCGAGTAAAGAATCTGGAAAGTATAATTCATAAATAGTGAGATTACACGATGAAACTTAGATTATTGCTTACATATATAAATATATACATGTGGAA